AGAAGCAGGTCAAGGTCAAATCCAGGACGGCGAAGGCTACGCCGAAAACTACAACGACAACACTCGCAGTACGAGCCGATCCAGCGATCTATGACGATGAGATCATGGGAGATGGACCAATTATGTTGGGAGATAGTGCTCTACTAAGGCAGCGGCTGGAGACCATGAGACCAACGATAGCCAGGAGTGGCAAGCACGAGGGCGACAGCTATGAGACGATCTATACGAAGGACAGGCACTACGCCAATTGCCTAGGACGGTGTCTCAAACTGGACGCAGACGACAGCAGGAGTTATAATCTCGACCCGACCATCAAAGTTTACATTGCGTACAACATCATCAAGTCAGTAGTACGTGTGCGCTGAGGATGATGAGTGATTTGAGTTATCATTTTCAGATGATGAGTGATTTGAGTTATCATTTTCAGATGATGAGTGGTTTGGGTTGCCATTTCAAATGATGGGTGATGTTTGGTCACCATATACAGATGCTGAGTGAAGGCGCCCCTCAAGAGCTCAGGTAATGATGCTATATATTGATACATGTTGCTCGGTGCGCAGACCTCAGGTAACTATTTGTTTATATGTTGCTCAGTGCGTGGATTTCTTCCATCTTAGTGTCTGTTGCTCGGTGTATTGATTTATTTTATATTGATATATGTTGTTTGATACACGGACGGTAGTTTGACCTTTCGAGCAAGGAGTATTGGATTTCCTTTATTTGATACATGTTGCTTGTTGCACGGACGATAGTTTGATCGTTCGAGCCAATAATGTTATTCAATATTCTGGAGGCTTGCTGCCGAATTTGCCAGGGCATTATTCAGCATCGTGTCCTTTTTCTTGTGTGGAAGTTATATTAGCAAGGATGTGAGTTATGGGATGATGTTTATAAGTATATGTGTTATTGCTCTCGCTCGCTCATGCTTGCACTCTCTTGTTTACTACTGACATTTGTGGCTTGAGCCCGCCCAGCTGAGGCGGGAGGGTGGACGCACCTATCGAACGCGGGATTTGATTCGGTATAAGATATCCTATCATCTGCCTGTTTTCTTCTTGCATCAAGAGGTTGTGGGTGGAGAGATTTGGATCATTACTTACACCTGGGAGCCTGCAGCGCATAGGGCCCCCACCCCCAGCGCCCCCCCTTGTGGCGTCGAAGAGATGCCACGCCTGCCACGCCCTGGGAGCCTGCAGCGCATAGGGCCCCCACCCCCAGCGCACCCCCTGTGGCGGCGAGGAAACGCCACGCCTGCCACGCCCTGGGAGCCTGCAGCGCGCAGGGCCCCCACCCCCAGCGCACCCCCTGCGGCGCCCAGGAAATGCCACGCCTGCCACGCCCTGGGAGCCTGCAGCGCATAGGGCGCCCAGGAAATGCCACGCCTGCCACGCCCTAAGAGCCTGCAGCGCATAGGGCCCCCACCCCCAGCGCACCCCCTGTGGCGCCCAGGAAATGTCACGCCTGCCGCGCCCTGGGGGCCTGCAGCGCATAGGGCCCCCACCCCAAACGCACCCCCTGTGGCGCCCAGGAAATGCCACGCCTGCCACGCCCTGGGGCCCTGCAGCGCATAGGGCCCCCCCCCCCCCCCAGCGCACGCCCTGGGAGCCTGCAGCGCATAGGGCCCCCACCCTCAGTGCACCCCCTGTGGCGTCCAGGAAATGCCAGCCTACCACGCCCTGGGAGCCTGCAGCGCATAGGGCCCCCACCCTCAGCGCACCCCCATTGTGGCTAAGAGGAACTGCCACACCTGCCACGACCGTCGCGCATAGCGGCCGAGCTCTGTGCTGTGCTAGTCTGTGCTGTGCTGTGCTGTGTTGTGCTGTGCTGTGCTGTGCTGTGCTGTGCTCTGCTGAGCTGTGCTGTGCTGTGCTGAGCTGAGCTGTGCTAAGCTGTGCCGTGTGTGTGTGTGTGTGTGTGCGAGTGTGCGAGTGTGTGCATGCGTGCGGCTGTATGTAGACGCGTGTCTCATGCACGTGCCGTGCATGTTGTTGCATGTGTTGAGCGCGGGTGGGGAGAGGGGAAGAGCGAGGTGTGAGGTGTGAGTGTCGCGGGTGCGGCGCGGCAAGGAAGAAAACCAGGACACCGCGAAACATGTGTGGAAAACCCTCCCGTCATGATTGCGGGCGTTTGTTATTCCGCGTTTCGACAACATTAGACGGAAGGGGGGGGGGGGGGGGGAAGGGGAGGGGGGTCTGGCTCCAGACCTCTGCTCGGTGCGACTGTTTGCAATAGTGCGCCTGGTGGGGGAAGCCCCACCCGCTCAAAACAGGCGCCAACAAAAACAGCCAAGATCTACTCCACGGGGGGAGGGGAGGGGTGGGGGGCGAGGGCCCGCCCAGATCGACAAACACAATAAAAAAAACAACTATGTTTTGGAGTCCCGAAACGGTGCGGTGAAAGACCGTGCGGTGACCTCGAAACCCCGTGGAAAAGCGCCTGGGCTCGTCCGACTAGCGCGAAAAAGCCCGCACCAGAAACGGAAAAATGGAAAAGTGGAAAAATGGAAAAACGGAGAAGGGAACAGAAAAATGGAAAAGCGGAAAAGCGGAAACACGGAGAAGGGAACGGAAAAGCGGAAAAGCGGAAAAGTGGAAAAGCGGAAAAGCTGGCAGGATACCAGAAAAGTGGAAAAGTGGAAAAGCGGAAATGCAGGAAAAAAACGACGAAGGGAACGGAAAAGTGGAAAAGTGGAAAAGTGGAAAAGCGGAACAGCGCACAGGATATTCAGAAAAGTGGAGAAGCGGAAAATTGGAAAAAGAGAAAAAGAACGCAGGGAAATATCAAGTAGAAACGTGGAATAATGGAAGAGCAGAAGCAAGAAGAGCCGTCTTCGGGGTCTCTGGGTCCTCGTGGGCTCTTGGGCCGCCTTGGGAGCGTCGTGAAGCCTCTGATGGTCGATCCTGGATCCTCGATCCTCGATTCTCGACGGTCGAGGTTCGAAACCGGTAGAGGATCACGTACTGACTTTGGATCGACGCTCGAGGATCGAGATTTGATTGAGGATCGATCGAGGATGGAGGCTCGATTGAGGATCGAACATCAAAGATCGAGGATGGAGGGTGGTCATTGGATCGAGGACCGACGATCCAGAGTCGAGGATACTGGATCGAGAACTGCCGAGCACTCGAGGTAGGAGGTTTCATCGAAGATCGAGGATCATTGATCGATCGAAGATCCAGGTTCGATCGAGGATCGCGGATCGCAGATCGATGATCGAGGATTGACTTTCGCTAGCTCCGATCGAAGATCATAATTCGATCGAGGATCGAGGATCGAAACTGGATCGAGGATCGAGGATCCAGGCTCGTTCGAGGACCGAGGATCGAGTTTCGATCGGAGATCGAGGATCGCCAGGATCGATCGAACATCGAAGATCGATTGAGGACCGACGCCCGGAGAGAGGGAGGCGGAGGAGGGAGGAGGGAAGACGATGAGGGAGGAGGACGAGGAGGTAGGATGGACGAGAAGGAAGAGGAAGAGGAGGAGGAGGAGAATGCTGGAGAAGGGGAAAGCTGGAGAAAGCTGAAGAAGTTTGAGGAAGAGGAGGAGGAGGAGGAGGAGGAGGAGGAGGAGGAGGAGAAGAAGAAAGCTGGAGAAAGCTGGAGGAGGAGGAGGAGGAGGCGAAGTAACCTGGAGAAAGTTGGAGGAGGACCTGGGGGACCTGTCGGCTTGGGGGAGGACCTGGAGGAGGACCTGGGGGACCTGGAAAGCCTCGCCCTGCCGAGCCCGCTGTCGTCCTCGTCCTCGTCGTCGTCGTCGTCGTCGTCGTCGTCGTGTCGTCGTCGTCGTCGTCGTCGTCGTCGTCGTCGTCGTCGTCGTCGTCGTCGTCGCTCGTCGCTCGTCGTCGTCGTTCTCCTCCTCCTCCTCCTCCTCCTCCTCCTCCTCCTCCTCCTGAGGACGAGAAAACTGGAGAAAGCTTGAGGAGGAGGCGGAGGAGACAGCTGGACGAGAGGAGGAGGAGGAGGAGGAGGAGGAGGAGGAGGAGGAGGAGGAGCTGGAGAAAGCTGAGAAAGCTAAGGAAGCTGGGGCGGCGGTGGCGGCGGAGACGGCGGCGGCGACGGCGGCGGCGGCGGCGCGAGGGGTGCCGGCGGCAGCCTCTGCGACCCCGCCCTGCCGAGCCCTGCCGAGCCCGCTGTTGTCGTCGTCGTCGGTCGTCCTCCTCCTCCTCCTTCCTCCTCCTCCTCCTTCTCCTCCTCAGTTCTTCGCTACCTCCTCCGCTTATTCCTCCTCCTCCTCCTCCTCCTCCTCCTCCTCCTCCACAATTACTCAATATGAATACTACTCTCCCTCTTCCCCTGATGGCGTGCTGGGAGTAGTAGACCCCCCCCCCGCGCACTGTTTTTTACACACAGGATTCCCGGGAGTTGGGTTTTCGCCTGCGTTTGTTTCAAAATGCTGCTCTCGCTCAGGCGCCGGCCTCATTTCTGCTCCCGAATCGTTCCGAATCGTGCTCCCGCTGCAGCGTGGGCCTCATTTTCGGATCGGTGTTTGGCCTCCGTCGTTCAGGATGGCGTTCTCGCCCCAGCGCGGGCCTCTTTCTCGCGCGCCCATCCGCCCGCCACCGCCGCGCCGCACCACCGCCGCCACCGCCGCCACCACCGCCACCGCCACCAACACCACCACCACAACCACAACCAGCACCACCACCGCCACCACCAACGCCACCAGCACCACCACCACCACCACCACCACCACAACCGCGCACACGCGCACGCACGCACGCACGCACGCACGCGCGCGCACCACCGCCCACTAATCACGCACGCGCGCGCGGAGCCACAGGTCCGCTACGACACGCGTCCGCGGATAGAGAAAATCAGCGCCATGGTAAGGGATGGGAAGGAGGGGGTAGGACGTCAGATATGACGCGAGCGCACCTGGCTTGTCCTCCTCCCCCTCCCCCTCCCCCTCCCCCTCCTCCTCCTCCTCCTCCTCCTCCTCCCCCTCCTCCTCCTCCTCCTCCTCCTCCTTTTTTTCCATCGCTCTCATGGGCGCGCATCCTTCGGCACAGTGAGGTTAACGGAGGCGGCGCGCACGAGGTCCAGCACGAATGGCAAAATGCCAGCGCTGCCACTTCGGCGCAAGGGCGCCTCCCGGGTGCCGCCAAGGACCTGCGCGCAGTACCCCTTCACCTTCTTGAGCTCCCCGCGGTTGCCCATGTTCAAGAGCAGATCGGCAACGCCGACTGCGTTGAGCAGAATCCGCCGCTTCTGCTGGCCGCTCCCGGCGACGACCGCGTCGTCTGGGCACGTGATCTTCGCCGCCTCGACGGCTTGGCGCGGCCAGTTTTCCCCCATGAGCTGGGCGACGTTCACGGCCGCTACACCAGTGTACCCCCCAAGAGTGATCACAGGAGCCCACGCCTTCAGCGTGTCCAGCGTGATTCGCCTGCCTGTGCCATTCGGAGGCGCTTCGGCTTGAAAGTCACTGCCTGGGGTGCGCGCGCCCTCACACGCGACCGCCTGACTGCGGCATCCTCGCACATGAGGAGAGGTGATATCGTGGCGCAGACGACGGTGGCGGTGCCGCGCCACTGACGAAACCAGTGGCCGCCCCCCAGGGCCATGATCCAGGTGCACACCTTGCACTGCACGCCCTGCAAGTCGAAGACGCGGGGCCTCTCTGGGAACTTCGCCGCCCGCGCCTGCATCAGCCGGAGGAGCAAGGCCCCCGCCGTGCTCTCGGACATGCACGCCTTGATCAACCTATAAAACACATGCCTGACCAATGGCACGGCGTATCGCCTCACACGCCCCGCCCCCGACTTCCGCGCCTCACCGCGCTCCTTCGCGTTCGCGAGCAGCTCGCCTCTAAGCACGGCCTTCGCTAGCGCTGGCCCTACGGCCGACGTCACCCGGAGCGACATTGCTCGAATACCGTCGTCGATCAACGCGTACAACTCCACCATATCGCCCTGGACAAACTTGATTCCATAAGAGGATATGCCAGAAAACCGCAAATCCACTTGGGAACGTCTGGCTGGGCAGATTTTTATCCCCTCCACCTCCTCCTCCTCCTCCTCCTCATCCTCTTTCTTCTTTCCCCCCCTGAATCTCCCTCCTTCTACAAAGCCCCACTTCTCTTCCTCCTCCACCTCCTCCACCACCTCCTCCTCCTCCTCCTCCCCCCCCCGTTTTCGGGGGCTTCCGAAAGATCCGAGACGGCCCGAAACCCACTTCGAGGCGGCCCAGGACCCCGAAACCTGCCCCAGAACCAATTTTGCGTCAAGATTTTCATGGACACAAGTGCGCAGGCTCGACGGCCCTCGGCGGCCTGGCAGCATGAGATGGGGCTCCGGAGAGCCCGTGGAAGGCCCCAAAAGGCCCGAAGCCCACTCCGAGGCGGCCCAGGACCCCAAAACCTGCCCCAGAACCCACTTTGCGTCAAGATTTTCATGGACACAAATGCGCGGGCTCGACGGCCCTCGGCGGCCTGGCATCATGAGGAGGGCCTCCAGAAAGCCCGTGGAGGGCCCGAGACGGCCCGAAACCCACCCCAAGGCGGCCGAGGACCCCGAAACCTGCCCCGGAACCCATTTTGCGTCAAGGTTTTCATGGGCGCGGGCTCGACGGCCCTGGGCGCTCCGGAGAGCACGTGGAGGGCCCCAGACGGCCCGAAGCCCACTGAATGCGGCCCAGGGCCCCGAGAACCTGCCCCAGAGCCAATTTTGCGTCAAGATTTTCATGGACACAAATGCGCGGGATGAGAGCTGGAACAGGAGGAGAAAGCTGGAGAAAGCTGGCGAAGGCTGGGGAAGGCTGGAGAGAGCTGCAGGAGGAGGGAGGAGGAGGAGGAGGAGGAGGAGGAGGAGGAGGAGGAGGAGGAGGAGAAGCAGGAGGAAACTGGAGAAATCTGGAGATGGAAGAGAAAGCCGGAGAAAGCTGGGGAAGGTTGGAGAGAGCTGGAGAAAGCTGGAGGAGGAGGATAAGGAAGGAAGGAAGGAAGGAAGGAAGGAAGGAAGGAAGGAAGGAAGGAAGGAAGGAAGGAAGGAAGGAAGGAAGGAGGATGAGGAGGAGGAGGAGGAGGAAGCTGGAGAAAGCTGGAGGAGCTCTTCTTCCCCTTCGTCCCCCTCCTCATCCTCCTCCTCCGTCTCTTCCCCTAATCCTCATCCTCTTCGCCGTCCTCACCCCCGTTCTTCCTGACCTCCTCGTCCTCGCTGTCCACGCCCGGACGGCGTAGGAGGCATAGGAGCGCCTCAAGACAGTCCCAAGACCGCCCAAGAAGCCCAAAATTGGCCCCAAGATTGTCTCGAAGACTGCCCAAGACTGGCCCAAGACGCTTGCATGCCCAGCGGTTGTAGGCGCAGCCCTTCGCATATCGCTCAGCAAGGCGCTGACTGCCCACGATCGACTGTGGAGGGGGCCGGTGGCCGCGGCCATGTGAAGAAACGGGACAGCGTCCCAAAATTTGCGCAGCAGGGACAGGGAGCCCCGAAACCAACCGATGCCCTCCGCAGTCTCGCCCCGCTCGTCGTTCACGTCCGGACAGAACCAGTGCGACGCCCGGCCATATAGGCCATCAGCGGCGTGCTGCTCGGCACAGGTCTCGAATCTCTGGCCGAAGCCCGCCGAAGACGGATCGAAAGACGGCTGAAGGACTTCCTGCAGCAACCACGCCTGCATCTTGACCCAGCTTGGCGGGAAATTGTGAAACACCCGCGAGCACAGACAGGGCCCCATGAACTTTGCCATCTTGGCTCACACCAATAGCCTTGTCGCACTCGCGCCAAATATTGTTGATGATCAGCGGCGTCTCCCTGTCCCCCCTGAAGACCTGGCACAGCACAAAACTTCTGTCCCAGTGGGGGTGCGAGGATGCGAGGGATTCTGAATACTCGTGCCTCATGCAGAAACGCTTCCAGGTCTCCTGGGCGACCTGGGGCAACACCTCGCGGACGGCTGCCGCCTGCACGCCTTCCGGCACGTATCCATCAACGCACGCATCCCGAAACAGACTCGCCGTAAAATGTTGGAGGAAGTTCTCAAATACGCTTTCAGACAAAACCACTCCAGAGGGCAAACCCTCCCAAGATTCAAGGCATCCTTGTGGCAGCTCCTCCCAGCCTACCCATGAGCGGCCATCCTGAGAAGCGCGTGGCGGCTGGCTCTCGAGCCGACGGGGCATCGCAGACCGAACTTGAGCCAATCGCCTATTGGATTCTCCCTATACCCCTCCACTCCTTTCTCTCCGTCCTCCCCCTCCTCGACTCCGTCCGTCTTTTTCCGTAGGCGATTGGCTCAAGTTCGGTCTGCGATGCCCCGTCGGCTCGAGAGCCAGCCGCCACGCGCTTCTCAGGATGGCCGCTCATGGGTAGGCTGGGAGGAGCTGCCACAAGGATGCCTTGAATCTTGGGAGGGTTTGCCCTCTGGAGTGGTTTTGTCTGAACGCGTATTTGAGAACTTCCTCCAACATTTTACGGCGAGTCTGTTTCGGGATGCGTGCGTTGATGGATACGTGCCGGAAGGCGCGCAGGCGGCAGCCGCCCGCGAGGTGTTGCCCCAGGTCGCCCAGGAGACCTGGAAGCGTTTCTGCATGAGGCACGAGTATTCAGAATCCCTCGCATCCTCGCACCCTCACTGCACTGGAATTGAAACTTTGTGTTGTGCCATGTCTTCGGGGGAGGGGGAGATGGGGAGACGCCGCTGATCATCAACAATATGTGGCGCGAGTGCGACAAGGCTATTGGTGTGAGTCAAGATGGCAAAGTCCATAGGGGCCCTCGCGAGGCGGGTGTTTCACAATTACCCGCCGAGCTGGGACACGATGCAGGCGTTGCTGCTGCGTGAAGTCCTACAACCGTCTTTCGATTCGTCCTCGGCGGGCTTCTGCCAGAGATTCGAGACCTGGGCCGACCAGGCTGAGGGAACGTCGCACTGGTTCTGCCCTTACAAAACGGGACGAGCGGGACCGGGCTGCTGAAGGCATCGGGTGGTTTCGGAACTCCCTGTCCCTCCTGCAGAAGTTTTGGGACGGCGTCCCATTTCTCCACGGTCAATCGTGGGGGGCCAGCGCCATGCTCAACGATATGCGAAGGAATGGCAGACCGACCCCAACCTGGGAAGAGCTCCGGAAGAGGCGGCCTGAAATCATGAGGACGCGCTCCAGGGATCCCGTGGAAAGCCCCAGGCAACCCGAAGCCAACTCCAAGACGGCCCAGAATCTCGACATCTGGCCCAAAATCAATTTTGCGTCAAGATTTTCATGGACACAAACGCGCGGGTTGGACGGCTTTCGGCGGCCTGGCATCATGAGAAGAAGCTCCGGGGAGCCCCTGGAGGGCCCCAGACGGGCCGACGCCCACTCCAGGACTGCCCAGGACCCCGAAACCTGCCGCTGAACGTATTTTGCGTCAAGATTTTCATGGGCACAAACGCGCGGGCTCGACGGCCCTGGGCGGCCTGGCATCGTGAGGGGGCGCTCTGGAGAGCCCGTGGGAGGCCCCAGACGGCCCGAAGCCCACTCCAAGACTGCCCAAGACCCCGAAACCTGCCCAAGAGCCCACTTTGCCTCAAGAGTTTTATGGGCACAAGTGCGTGGGCTCGACGGCCCTGGGCGGCCTGGCATCATGAGAAGAAGCTCCGGAGAGCCCGTGGACGGCCCCAGAGGGCCCGAAACCCACGCCGAGACGGCCTAGACCCCCCGAAACCTGCCCCAGAACCCATGGTCGGGACACGGGAAGCGTCAAGAGTTTCTTCTTGTCCTCCCCCTCCTCCTTTTCCTCCTCATCCGCCTCCTCCTCCTCGTCCTCGTCCTCCTCCTTCTCCTCCTCCTCCTCCTCCTTCTCCTCCTCCCCCGTGTCTTCCTTACCCCGCCTCCCCCGCCCATCCCCGTTCTCCCCGCTACCAAACCACGCTCCTCCCACTCATCCTCCCGCTTCTCCAACTCATCCTCTCCTTCCCCTCCCCTTAAGCGGGAGAGAGAACAAAGGCTTTGTTTTCTTGGGCGTGCGTTCAGATGTCGAGCGGTCCACCTGAAATGAGGCAGCGAGCCGGGCCGTGAATCGCCACGTACCCTCGTAAATGCTGTCGGGATGCCGGGCCGGGCCGCCCGTCGGGCAAGCAGCCGGCGATGGAGCAGATTGGCGGGGAGAGGCACATAGTTAAATATATATATATATATATATATATATATATATATATAGAGAGAGAGGGAGGGAGGGAGAGAAAGAAAAAGGAAAACAACGAGAAATCTGAAATCAATCATGCTAGACAGAGCGCGTAAAAACGTCAAACGGAAATGCCAGCGAGTGCCACCCACGCACGCCGCTCGAATTCAACGCCCCATGGTGCCCCATCAGCGGTGCCGACCTACGTGGGACTAGAGACTCTCCAGCGCAGGGAGGCTCTCAAGAGACGCGGAGGCAGAGGAATTCAATCTGCTGGCCAAAGCTCTCGCTGACAGTGAGGAGCGGAGGAGGACGGCGCTCTGGTCCTCATTGAACACCGCGGCCCCCTTCTCGCGGAGGTGCTCGAGCATCTTCGCCCAGCCGTCCTTGGTGCCCTAGAACTTCAGAATCTTGTGCGCTTCCTCCAGATCGGTTGCGTAGGCGGTCATGTCGTCGCGCTTGCGTTGCTTGGTGAACCAATACTGCCGGAAGTTGTGCCACAACGTGCTGGCCGCCATCGCAAAGGGCACGCCCTCGTGCGCAGCTTTGTGCCAAATTCCGTTTTCGCCCGCGGGCAAATGATTGGCGTCCGTGCCCTCGAGAAAGCGCCTCCCGGCCTTGTCTATGTTCTCGAGCTTCAGAGTGTCGAAGTCGTACAAAGGGGCGGGTGGGGCCTTGTCCTGCTGGTCCGAAGGCTTGGTCTCTCTGCGCCCGCTGAATGGCGGCCTCCAGGCCCATCTGTTTCAGCGAGAAGAGCTCGATCTTTGGCATGGCTGCCAGGCAATCGAAGAGGCGGATCACGTGGTCCAGGGGGAAGGGCCGCCCGAAAGCCCATCGCGCCAGACCGTTGCGCACCGCCGCGTTGGCAGCAGCGCACGCCCCGAACGTCTTGCCAGCGTGCTTCGTGACGACGCTCGCGCACTCTGGGTTGTTGCTCTTGGCGCGCGCGGCATTGGTGCCGTCCTGCACGCCCGCCATGATCATGGTGCCTGCCGGGCTGACCTGCATGGCCCGCACGGACAGCTCCGGCAAGCGCTTGGGCACCGCCTCGGCCGCGTCCTCGGCGCCGCCCCTCATGGCTCCGCGGAGCCTGATCTTCTTGGGAGGCTCGGGGCGCCCCGACGTCGCAGGATCCCGTGCGCGCCTGGCCCTGGCGCCGACAGCGCCGGCGAGCGGCGCCGCGGGCGCGGGCGCCTCGGCCGCGGGCGCGTCGGCCACGCCAGCCAATCCCCCCCCGCCGCGAGGAAGGGAAGTGGGCCCCGAGGCCAGGCCGTGCAAATACTTCGCCAGCGGCGCGAAGCGGGATGCGAGGAAGCCGTCCCAGAGCACGCGGAGATCGGCGTCGCGGAGCCCCTGGGGGTACGTCTTGGCGAAATCCTCCAGTTCGCGGTCTGGCGCCCGCTGCTGGGCGAGCAGGATCTCGCGCAGCGCCTCCACGAGGACCTCCTGGCTCTTGTTCCGAGGCACGAGGCGTTCCTCGAACGGCAGCTTGCGGACCTGGTCGGGGTCTAGATGCAGGACGACGAAGCGAAGCCTGCCGCAGCTCTCGCCCCCCATCTCCCGGGCGTAAACCTTCTTCTGAGTGGCCAAGCACATCCAGGCGACCGGCTTGACGCACGAGGCGCCCATGCCGGTGCGCCGGCCGCAAGCCTCGGAGCCGTCGAGGAGCTCGATGACGCCCCCCTCCTGCATCTTGTCTTTGTAGGCGCGGTTGAGGACCTTCTCGAGCTCGGCATTGACGACCTGAACCTGGTTCCCGTGGGCCTTCAAGTGGGTCAAAATGCCGTTCGTGGTGATCTTGCCCGAGCGCGCGGTGCTCGTGGCATCCAGGCGCTCAACCTGGAGAGCGCCGACCCACTGCAGGATCATGGCGACCAGGTTATCTTTGCCAGAGGAGACCTCGCCCTCGGCGATGAACGGAAGCCTTGCGTTGCCAACGTTCCATTCGGATTCGCTCTCCTTGGGGGCGGGGATTTGCAAGGAACCGTCGGCGCCCTGCCAATAATAAGCGGCCTGGCCCTGGAAGGCCTGGTGCACGACGTGGCCGTCGGGAGGCAAGCCGAAGCCAACTGCCGCGCGCTGGCAAGCGTCCGCCACTTCCGCCGGGGCCATTGCCCGCAGCGGCACAGAGCCCTGGGCCTCCATCGGGGTGCGGACATCCGTGCCCTCCAAGAGCTTGTTGTAGAAAGCCTCGGTCGTCTGCGCCACATAGGCGCGAAGGCTCATCTCCTTGGGCTTCGACGCGAGGTCCGTGGCGGCGTAGATGGCCTTCACGTCCCAGAGGTAGGTGGACCATTTGTCGAAGAAGGCCCCCCGCGTCTTCGGGCCCGCGCCCTCGATGCTCACCGCCAAATCTTTGACGTCGACCGCCTGGCCCGTGACGTCCCGCCAGACTCGGAGGCCCAACTGCTGAAACCTCTCCCTAGCGCCGATGGCGGGGTCTGGCTTATCCTTGATGGCCGCCACCAGGGCGTCGTAGTCCGCAAAGCAATCCTCGTCCAACTCCGTCGCATGTTGGTAGAACGCCTCGGCGCTCATCTGGGTGCCCAGGACCTCGTCGTCGTCATCTGGCGCCGGAACGACTTGGCCCTCGCCGGCCGCATCGGGCGCGCCCTCGCCCTCGGCGGCGCCTGCGAACTCTTCGGCCTCGCCCGCGGCCGCTTCCGCCTCCTCCTCAAGGCGGAGCGCCTCCTCCGCAAGAGCCTCCTGGTCGACGGCGGCCATTGGGTCGCGACGCGGGCCGCATGTCGGGAACGCGGGGCGGGGGCGCCCAAATGGATGGGCGCAGCGCCGCGGCGTCCGAGCCCTCGGCGCAGCGGGGGCGATTGGCGACAATGCGCCGCCGATCGCGCGCGCAGAAAGAATGAGACTTCGCGGAGGGGGAGCGGGGGGGGGGGGCGCGCGCGCGGGGGCGGGGGCGACGCGGCACACATATCACCTGTAGATCGCCATAGGAAGGCCTACTCTAGGCCTACCCCTAGGGCTACTCCCCAGGGTTACCTCAGGCTTACTTCTAAGGCGTACCCCTGGGGCTACACCAAGCCAACCCCTGAGGCCGGGCCCTGGGGCTACCTTATGCCTACCCCCAGGCTCTACCACAGGGGATGTCCCAGGCGCGCCCCCAGGGCCTACCCCTAGGCGCTACCCCCTGGGGCTGCCCTGGGCTTATTACCCATAGGGCCCACCCCTGGGCCTACCCTAAGCCTGCCCCCAGGGCCTACCCATGAGGCTACCCCGGGCCTATCCCTAAAGCCAACCCCTGAGGCTATCCGTAGCCTGCCCCAAGGCATACCCCTCGGGCTACCCCGAGCATTCCCCCAAGTGTTTGCGCGCCAGGCAGGCTGTAGTGCACCGCAACAGACTTGAATGCCCCGTCCGCCGGGGCGCGCCCCAGCCCGTGCCATTTTCACAGCGCGTGGCAAACTCGCGGTCGGTCGCGCGGCTACAGCTTGCCATCCTGAAAACGGGAAGTAGAGATACCCTGTATCACGCGGCTCCGCCGGCGCATCGGCGCAGCTCCCAGCGGCGCGAGCCAGCGGAGCCCCGGCCGCCGCGCCCTCCAGGATCGCCGCGGCGAGCTCCTCCGCTGCCAGGAACTCGTCGTGCACGCGGTCGGGCCGGCTGCATGTGAGCAGCTGGTCGCGCCGTCGCCCCGAGACCGTGCGGGCCGCCACCTCGCGGGCGAAACGCAGGAGCACCAGCAAATGCACCGTGGCCTCGTCCGCTCGTGAGCGCCCCTTATTTCGGGCATGGCGCTGTTTGTTCCGCCAGTCCCGCTCCTTGCCCACGGTGCCGAGCGAGACGCCCCGCCCCGCCTCCATGGCCCAGAGCTTGCAGCGGTATCCAGCGCGCAACCCATGCAGGACCACCGGGCGGAGCTGGTTCACGAGGACGCGGTCGAACCTGCTACCGGCCGCGTACCTCTTGTGCGATTCTCCCGCCAGGGCGTCGACACCGAGCGCGGGTTCGGCGGGGCGTGCTGCTTCGTCCTCTTCGTCGTCGCTGTCTTCCTCGGCCTCGGCGGCGGCGTCGCTGTCGTCGTTGCCGTTATCGTCGCCGCTCTCCTCGGGGAACTCGCTGTCGCCCGCGGCGTCGCTGGCCGCGGACGCGTCGGCGTCCACCCCCTTGGCGGACGCACTCTCCTCATCCGAACATGCCTGGCGATCGTCCGCTGGCTGGCTGGGCGCGGGCGCGCCAGCCGGCGCGTCTCGCTGCTTGCACATGCGCCGCATAGGCCCGCTGGGCCTAATGCGCGCGCGCCGCAGGTAGCGGACCTGGGCCTGGCACCACTCCGGAGGCGCCTCGCCGCGGGCCTTGGCGAAGTTGGGAAGGGCGAACAGGTCGCCCAGGCCGCAGAGGTCCCGGGCGATACCCCCCGCGGTTGGATGTCCGAGCGGGCCGTAGACGAACTCGAAAGCAGCCGCGGCGGCCGCCTGGCGCGCCCCCCTGGACGCATCCACGACGAGCGCCGCGTCCTCCAAGATCGCCACCTCCGCCGGCAAGGACAGCGGTTTGCCATGGACAGGGTGACACCACTCGTCTGCCACGCTTTCCTTGAGGACCTCGAGCGACACGGCCGGCAGCGCGGCCCCCTCAGAGTGCAGCTGCAGGACCTGGGGCACATCCAGCGGCGCGGCGCCCTGAACCTCCGCGCGCGCCGCGAGTCGGTTGTCTGCGCCGCCGAAGATCGGCTCCGCGTTCGAGCGGCCAAAGCGCACCTCGGGGTTGAGGGGGTCCTGCCATTTGCGCAAGCAGCGGATCGCCCACGCAGCATCGACCGAGGTCGTGTTGACCGCCTCGAGGAGGCGCTTGTACACGTGCAGCGCGTCCTGCCCAAGCTCGAACCCCAAGACTCTGCGCGCGTCCAGGTCCACGACAATGCCGCCGCTCTCCACGCGCTGCTGCGAACGCTTCAAGGCCGCCATGTCGCGCCGCACGGCCCCGGGGAAGGCGGCGCCCAGGCAGCCCGCGATCGTCTTGAACTCCTTCGCAATGTTGCCCACGTTGGCGCCGACCAGCCGGAGGCCCTGGGTCTGAACCAAGCGCATCCACGCCAGCACCACGGTCTCAATGTTTGACCTGTCCTCGGCGGTGGCGTAGAGGTCCGGGGGGGGGCGGCGCGTCGGACAAGCCGGTCAATCCGCCGAAGGTGCGGCGTTCCTTCCTGTCTCGGACTTTGGACCCGATGGCGCGGAGCTGCCTGGCATCGCTCGCGGAGAAGTCCAGGTCCCCGACGGTCCCGTGAGAGGCGCAGACCGCGAGGGCGAGCCGCGGCACCATCGGGCCCAGGTACCTCTGAACCCAAATCGCGAACCACACTTTGATCGTCTGGTAGCCTGGCGTCGCGCGCGCGAATCCGCAGAGGGCCGCGTGGAGGCGCGCCGCCTCGAATTCGCTGAGGTTTGCGCGACGAGGGTGGTCGGCCACGGCGTTCATGATGAGCGTCGTGGTCCGCCTGCGCACCAGCCTCTCGACGCGCCTGTAGTTCTCCGCGTCCTGGAACGCGCCCAACGCCTCGGGCCAGAAATCGCCGGCAATCACGCAATCGCCAACGACGTCGCCAACGACGGTGCAACCTCTTGAATCGGAGCCGCTTGGTGGCTGAAAGAATCGGTTGTGAGTCTGGCACCAGTACCTGTGAGTGAGCAGGCAGCGGCAGCCAGCCGCGCACGCGCGCATCCGCGCGACGCGCGGCCCGCGCCTGAAAATACTGCAATCCTTCTGGTCTGGTGGGTCAGGACACGCGGCTGGAGCAGCAGCGAAGTCAAAGCGCAAGTGCACTGCGTCAGCGCACAGCTGCGCGACAGCCGAAGTCCAAGGGCTCGGAGCACCAGGGGCAGAACTGCTGGCATATGATGCAGGTTCGTCCTCCGCGGCGTCGTTGCCGTCAGCGGCGCGCGGAAGCTCGGCGGCCGCTGCGCGTTCAGCAGAGGCCTGAACGAAGCGAAGAATCTCGCGGCCTCTGCCGCTGGACTCCGCGGCCCCATCGTTGGCGGGCACGAGCTGGAAGCAACGCTGGTGGATCATCTTGAAGCCGTCGTTTCTCTCGGGCGCCGCAATCCGCGGGGCTAGGGCCGCAGATCGGCTGGAGGGCCGCGGCACTTTGAGGAGCTGGCCCTGGAATGGCGCCCGGCACCTCCAGCAACCACCGCCTTCAGGATGGATAGAGCGCGCCTGCTTTAGATTCACAGGCCGACGGAAGAATGGGAACACGTGAGCTTTGCCGAACTTCGCGAATGAAAGGACGCAGGCGCACGCGTCATCCTCGCCTGGCCACTCGAAGACGTCGCCCACGCGCGGCTCCGAGGACACCGGGAGCTCGAGCCTCGCAGCGTTCGCGAGCGACGTGACGTGCACGAACTGCAAGGTGGTTGATCTGGCGCTCGCCTCTCCGAACAGTTTGGTCTGAGACGCGTGCAATGCGGACAGATCTGGCATCGGAGGGATGCGGCAGGTCTCGGCGCTCCGAGACAGGTCAGGCCTTTCCCGGCAAAAGAAAAGGCGCGGCTCGCGCTCGCTTGCCCTGCGGTGCTGCTACGGCGGCGGCGGCGGCGCGCCTCTGGCGGCAGGAATGGCTCAAAGCCTCCCCCACCGTGGAAATATGTTCCTCGCAGAGCGTGCACTGCCACTTGCCCGTGCCCAGCGCCCGGATAATATCCGCTTGCTTGCGCAAGGTGGAAGAATCGCGCAGGTAAGCATTGTGCAACGAATGATGCCTATCTAACTTCCTCTTCCAATTCGGGTCGGCCTCCGCGTTGGAGAATTGCCAGCCCTCGGGTTGACCGAAGCAACATTCGCGAACTTCTCCCCCATCATCAGTTTCCTCCCCCTCCTCCTCCTCCACCTCCTCCTCCCCCTACTCATCTTCCCTCTCCGCCTCTGCCTCGACTTCTGGGCCTCCTTGCGCGGGCCTGCCCTCCGCGGAGCCTGGCAACCGTCGGGCGAGCCAGGCCGCCCAAGAGCCGCCGGGCCGAAGAATTTGCGTCAATGGAAATATTATCGCCCACCGGGTCTCGGAGCGGTCGGGGGCCCTTTGGAGCACGCGGGGAGCCTCGTGCGGCCGTCTGGAGCCGATCTTGGGCCGTCTTGGGACAGGTTGGGAGCGCCTTGGGCTCTCTGAAGGCCCCCCCCTGGCGCCGCGCCGCCCAAGAGCCGTCGAGCCGAAGAATTTGTGTCAATGGAAATCTCGACGCGAACAAAGTCTCGGAGCGGCCGGGGGGTCTTTGGAGAATGCGGGGGGCCTCTTGTGGCCGTCTGGAGGCGATATTGGGCCGTCTTGGAGCAGGTTGGGAGCGCCTCGGTCTCTCTGAAAACTCCCCCCTGGCGCCGCGCCGCCCAAGAGCCGTCGAGCCGAAGTATTTGTGGAAATCTTGACGCAAGCAAGGTCTCGGAGCGGTCGGAGGCTCTTTGGAGCACGCGGGGGGCCTCTTGCGGCCCTGGCGCCGCGCCGCCCAAGAGCCGCGAGCCGAAGAATGTGTGTCAATAGAAATCTTGACGCAAACAAGGTCTCGGAGCGGTCGGGAGGTCTTTGGAGCACGCGGGAAGCCTCTTGTGGCCGTCTGGAGGCGATCTTGGGCCGTCTTGGAGCAGGTTGGGCGCGTCTTGGGCTCTCTGAAGGCCCTCCCCTGGCGCCGCGCCGCCCAAGAGCCGCCGAGCCGAAGAATTTGTGTCAGTGGAAATCTTGACGCAAACAAGGTCTCGGAGCGTTCGGGGGGTCTTTGGAGCATGCGGGTGGCCTCTTGTGGCAGTCTGGAGCCGATCTTGGACCGTCTTGGAGCAGGCTGGGAGCGCCTTGGGCCCCCTGGAGGCCCTCCCCGAATTAGGCCGTCCAAGAGCCGCCAAGGCGAAGAATTTGTGTCAATGTAAATCCCTTGCGAAGCGCATCCAGGGGGGGGCCCGGTGGACGCCCTGAGCCGATCTTGGGCCGTCTTGGAGAAGTGGAACATGGAAAAGTGGAAAATAAAATAGAAAAGTGGAAAAGTGGAAAAATTAGCCTTGTGTCTCAGGGGTTCCTTGCTTTTCCGATGTTCCACTTTTCTGTTTTTCCACTTTTCAATTTTTCTGATTTCATTTTTCTGCACTTTTCCATGTGCTCTGTTGATTTGCTACGTTTCTACTTTTCCACTTTTCTAACTGTCGTTATACTTTTCCACTTTTCCACTTTTCCACCTTTCCACTTTTCCATGTGTGTCGTGCTTTTCCACTTTTCCAATGCACCTGGAGGTTTGTACTTTTCCATTTTCCACTTTTCCACTTGTCCTATTTCTGCTCTGAACGTTGTCGCACTATTTGAACGGGCCCAGGCCTACTTCCTTAGGCCACGGGCACTCGTGAGCTTCCGATTGGCCCCCCCGTCGTGGCCCCGAGCTTCCGCCGGCCTCCGCCATCGCTTCTGCGAGCTATCGCCAACTTCCATATTCGATCCCGCCTTCGCCCCCCATTGCTTCCGCCCGCTTCCGCGCCCCCCCCCCCCCCCCACACACACACACACACACGCACACACGCGCACACACACGCGCACACACACGCACACACGCGCACACACACACACACGCATTGCACACACACACACTCACAACACACACCCCACCACGACCACACGCACACACACACGCACGCACACGCACACGCACACACACACACACGACACACACACACACCACACCGCACACAACACACACACACACACGCACACACACACTCACACACACACCAACACACACACACACACAACACACGACAAACACATCACACGCCCGCACGCACGCACGCACGCACGCACGCACGCACACACACACACACACACACCGCACACGCGCACGCACACACACACACACACACACACACACACATACACACACACACACACACACACACGCACGCACGCACGCACGCACGCACGCACGCACGCACGCACGCACGCACGCACGCACCACCCCCCCTCCTCCTCCGCCTCCGCCTCAAGCGGAAGCAGGCGGAAGCGGGCGGAAGCTGACGAGTGCCTGCGACCCCCCGAGCCTCGGCGCTCTCGATCTGGCAGATCGCCGCCGTCTCCACCTCGCGCACTCGGAGGCGGTGGGTGCCCTCGGTGCCCAAGACTCGCTAGAAGTCCTGTGCCCTGCCGCGCCTGCCCTCGAGGGCCCCCGTCTCCGGCGACGCGGGCCGCCTTGCCGCGCGGGGGGGTCCTCGCAAGCCCGGAGGTTCGCCTTCGCCTTGGCCTCGCCCGCTCTCTCCTCCTCGTAGTTCGAGTGCGTCTTGACCGTGAACTTCCGGGAGAAGCTCGCCCTGGCCTTCGGGGCCCTGCCTGGAAGCCTCGCCTTGGCCGCGCCTCGGCCCGGGCGGTCGAGCGAGGCCTCGCCGCCAGTCTCGGCCTTCGTGCGCTGCCACATGCGCCGCAGCTTGCCCTAGAACTAGCACGAGAACATGGCCGCCCGCCTGCACCTGTGACCTGCGTCGCGTTGGAGCCCGACTCGGCCCCCGAAGCCGGGCGGGAACTGGACCCCCTCGGTCCGGCCCTCGGGCGGCCTGAGCACCTTCCTCGGCTCGTCGGCGAGCTTGAAGCCCAGGTCTCGGAGCACCGGGGGGCAGGGCTTCTGCCCCTCCTCGCAGTCCCCGGGCAAGTCCTCGAGGCGGAAGCACTCGCCGTCGAGGGCGCCCCAGTCGGGGACTGGAGGGGCGTTCTCGGGCCAGCGCTAAATGCCCTTCAGGCGCTCGCTCGCCAACCTCGGCTCGACGCCGCGGCCTGCCTGGACGGCGTACAGCTCCAGGGTTCCAGGCCCACGATGGGCTCGAGCTCGCCCTGCTGTCGGCCGGGCCACGAGCATTCTGTTTGCCCGCAGCCCTCGGCGCGGCCCCGCCTCCGCGGATGTGACGGATGAGATTCTGCAGTGCCCGTATTTTGTCGCGCGAGATTTGCGCGCGTCTCTGGCGGGCGCAATGGCCGCGCGATCGGGTGCCCCTAGCGCGGGGGCCGCGATGGCACGGTTTCCTCGCCCGGCCAAAATACGACAGCAATGCGACTGCGGCCCGCTTCCACGGCGAACGCGCCCCCCGCAAACAGTCGAGCAGCTCCACGACGACGCGGGGCGAAAAATTAAGCGCGCATCACCAGAAAAAAACGGCGATCACCACAATGCAAAACCTGAGGAATCGCTATCAGAACTTGCACGGCTGTTCCGCGGAGAAATATGGTCTCGCTTCAAGACGCCACTTTTCACGCTGAATAGCCATGCGCTTGTTTACTGAAGCCCCATCGGATTTTCACTGCGGCCCCCGCTGACATATCCACTCGCGGTTTCGCGAAGTCTCCCCGCGCGCGCGCCGCCTCCAAAACGAGATTTGGCGGGGCGACGACCTCGAACAAAGACGGAGGGCGGGCAATGGAACGGCGGCGACGCCCGCTGCGGCCCGCTGCGAAACGCGCCCAACACGCGCGCACCCATGACAAACCTCGAATGGACAAACTGCCCTCGGGAGAAAAAAAAACAAACAATATGCTCCACTCGGTTCTCACACTGCGGGCGCGCTGGCCTGATCCTTGCGCTCGTCGCCGAAGCGGGCGCGGGCCTCGGCGTCTCAGGCGGGGCTGCTCGTCCTGCTCGAATGCCAGCTCGTCGCAACGTGCCCGCGCCAAAATAATACCCGCCCAGACCTCGCGGCCGCGCTCGCGCCCCTGCTCCGGTCATCGCTCCGCGTGGCGCCTGACGCCCCCGGGCGGGCGTTTGGCGGTGACCAGACATGGCGCGTCGTGGGAGGGCTTGGCGCCCTCGCTCTCGCGCTCGCCGCGGCCGGGGCGGGCGCGCCCGCGGGCTCGGAGGCCGTTCTCGCCGAGCCTCGCCGTGGCCACCCTCTTCTCGAGAGCCGCCCGAAGCCCGTTCCATCCCGCGGCCGTCTCGCGGCCCCAGTGCCACGTCTCGCGCGGCTTGCTCTTCGCGGCACCGGGCAGGAGGGGGGGGCCCCCGGCGAAGTGCCCATCGGTGCGCCTGCTCCAGTCGAGGGCGACCTGGAGCTCAGGATGATCTGGTGGCTCTCGCCGCTGTGCGGGGGTAGCACGCGGCGCGCGCGCCCCCTCGCAGCGCTTGACCACCCCCTCGGGTCTGCCGCCGAGGCCCGAGCCTCGCCTGACGCATCGCCCGAGTCCTTCGGGCCCAGCGCCCTGCCCTGGCGCTCGCCAGCCCTCGGCGCGCGGCCGCGGCCGCACGTCGCTCCTCGGAGGGGGAGGGGGGGGGGGGGGGGGGCGAGGTCGGGGTGGAGGAGAAGCCATTCTCAGCGCGCTCAGCCTCGAGCCCCTTGGCCCCGAGGTCTCGTAGAAGCTCGTCGCAGAGGCGCTGCTCTCGCAGGGCGAGGCCCCGAGCTTCTCATGGGAGCTCGGAGAGTCTCCCCAGGCGAGGTGGCGAGACCCCAGGAGAGCCGACGAGCTCGATTGCTTGGTCGGCGCCCCGGCGCTGTCTCGCCCCATCGAGACCTCGTTGCAAAGCTGCTCTGGTTCGGGGCTCGAGCGCGTGAATCAGCGTGGCCGCGGGTTGTGAGCTTCTTGTTGTTAGCTCGCTGTTGGTGGCTTCTGCTCGATAGCATCTCGCGGATGCCGTTGCCTGCGCTTCCCGTTGGAGCGAGTAGCTTTTTGCTCTCGTCGCAAAAACAATGTTTGACATTCGTGGCATTCCTCCGGAAATCCATTGGGTTTCGCTGGGATCCCCTGGGATTCAAGGCATTCATAAGATCCCCTAAAACATCAATAACTCCGGAGGAAATCCTTTGGACCCCTTAAGGCATCTATGGGATTCCTCTGCAATGTCATCAGATGCCTTGGGAAATCC